TTACACGTACCCTGACTTGCTAGGTTGCCCTTTTCTTGGTCATCTGGCTAGAAAGAAATGGTTTTGTTGGGGATTTTTTTCTTTGCCTGCTGGCATTTTGGGGTTGCTGGCTTCTCCTGCTACATGTCTGGGATAATGAAGCAAAAAGAAATCCTAAAGAAGTCACCACCAAGTCATTCCTCAGGTCCTGAGGTCCCTCACCAATCTGCCATCTTCCCACATTTTAGAGACTTTTCATGTTTGTTTTGCATATAACGTCCCAGGTTTTTAGTTGTGGTTAATAGGAGGACTACTTCACTCCATCTTAGTAGAAGGAGAAGTGGCCACAAAGTATTTTGATACATTCCTTTATTTATTTTTTTTTCCTTTTTTGATTCAGAGTCTCACTCTGTCACCCAGACTGGAGTGCAGTGCCATGTTCACGGCTACTGCAGCCTCAGCCTGCTGGGTTCAGGCGATCCTTGCACCTCAGCCTTCCAAGGAGCTGGAATCATAGGCGCATGCCATCATAACTGGCTGATTTTTTTTGTTTAATTGTAGTGTTACGGTCTTATCATGTTGCTCAGGCTGGTCTCAACACCCTGAGCTCCCACATTCCTCTCGCCTACGCCTCCCAAAGTGCTAGGATTACAGGCATGAGCTACTGTGCCTGGCTCTTTTTTTTTTTTTAACCAGAAACATGTTGAATTTTCTGTTGACTTTTTCATCTAGGTAGACTTCTGGTAACTTCTAGAATCCTAATTTTACACCTAGCACCTGTATATTTATAGAGGGATAGATGGAGTAGGCTTTTGCTCAGTCCCTTTGGCATTTGTTGGTGACGTTTGTCATTTATCCATTCAAACATTTATCGAAAACCCCTTGTGCTTGGTCTGACAAAGCCTAGGAAGGTGCCCTCTGGGGACACATGTGTACTGTCAGCTGTTGTATCAACATGATCCGTTTGATCTTCTCAACCTAGGAGATCAGCCATTATTATCTCTCACAGATAAGAAAACAGACCCAGGAGATGCAGGAACTTTTCCAAGGTAGTTCCCCCAAATGTTTACTTAAAGGAGGTGGTGTAACTATTTACTTCTTTTTTTTTTTTTGAGTTGGAGTCTCACTCTGTCGCCCCAGACTGGAGTGCAGTGGCCGCTCCCGGCCACCACAGCCTCGACCTGCTGGGCTCTGGCGATCCTTCCGCCTCAGCCTTCCAAGTAGCTGGAATTACAGGCATGCGCTACCACGCCCGGCTGATTTTTTTTTATTTATTGTAGAGATGAGATCTCGCTGCCCAGGCGGGTCTTGAACCCGCGGGCTCAGGCAATCCACTCACCTCAGCCTCCCAAAGGCATGGGATTGCAGGCTGAGCCACCGAGCCCAGCTCACTATTTACTTCTTACAATGTTTTCCACACTCGTGATTTTAGGACTTGGGTTTTGGCCAGATGTGATTGAAATGGACTTGCTCCTTCACTGAGTACATATTTGAGTACTATTGCGCCAGTCACTGAAGATGTGGTGGCCAGTGCACACATAGCTCTGTTCCTGTGATGTTTGCAGCTTGCCACCACGTGCTGTTTGGCTGCTGGGTCACTTGGGTGAATTGGAACAAAGCATGCAGTCTCTGTTTTCCCCAGCTTCTGTAGTTGAGTCCACAAGGTCACACAGCATTACATCAATGTTGGAGGATGGAAATGGATGCCACAAAGGGCTCGGTTTTCTGGGGATAGAGTAATAAGATAGCACAGTTATGGCCTGGGAGTTTGGTCTTTGCATTCAAGGAATTGTGAGCAGGAGCTTTGTAGGCATAGCATCTAACACAATAAGAGCCACTTTGTCTCTGTTTCCCGTAGCTATTTGGTGGCAAGGTTCTTGCTTATGTCCTGATTTGCACATCCACCCAGAGTTTGAGCAGGAGAGGGCATTTCCTGGCTCAGTGACATGCCATTTTTTTTTTGAGTTGTAGTCCTACTCTGTCGCTCAGGCCGGTGTGCAGTGGCATGATCACGACCACTGCAGCCTCGACCTGCAGGGCTCAGGCAATCCTTCTGCCTCAGCCTTCCAAGTAGTTGGAGCCACAGGCAGGCAGCACCACACCTGGCTAATTTTTTGACTTATTGTAGAGATGAGGTCTCAGCCTAGGCTGGTCTCCAACTCCTGGGCTCAGGCAGTCCTCTTGCCTCCACCTCCCAAAGTGCTAAGGATTATAGGCATGAGCCACTGTGCCAGCTGACATTGCCATTTTTGATCTGATTATTTCTAGTTTCCTTCTCCAGATTCTTCCTTTGGCACCCAACCTTAGAAAACCGTTGTAGTTAATTTAAGAGACAGCCTGGGGCAGCAGAAAGATAAACTAGCAATCAGGAAACATGGGCTTCCAGTTGTGGCTTAGCCAGTCTCTGTGAGAACCTTGGTCAAGGCAGTCCCACCAACCTGGGTTTCCTCATCAGGAAAATGGGGATGACATCTGCTCTGCCTACTTTACAGAGTTGTAATAAACATCAAAGAGCAAATAGAAAGACTTTACAGATTAAATGCCACGTGTAGAATTGTATAGTTAGTCCCCTTAGCCATATTCTGGGCCATAAAACAAGCCTTAAATTTAAAATTATTTAAATCATACAAAATATGTTCTCTGACCACACTGGAATTACAAATAATTGCATTAACAGAAGTATATTCCAAAAATTTCTGAATATTTTATAACTAAATAACATATTTCTAGATATCCATGGGTCAAAGAAGTAAAAAGGATATTAAAAAGTATTTAGAGCTGAATGAAAATTAAGACACAATACATCAGAATTTGTGGTATGCCACTAAAACAATACTTAGGCAGGAATCTACAGGGCTAAGCAGTGTTATTCGAAAAAAAGGTCTCAAATCAATGATCTCAACTTCCGCCTTATGACACCAGAAAAAACAAAGCAAGTTGAGACCAAAGTAAGCATAAGAAAGGAAAAAATAAAGATTAAAGCATACATAAATGAAATAGAAAACAAAAATAATGCAAGCAATGAAATCTAAAAGCTGACTCTTTGAGAAAAGTAGTAAAATTGATAAGTCTTTGTCCAGGGTGGTCAGGAGAAAAGAAGACACAAGTTACCTATACCAAGTGTTGGTGAAGATGCGGGGAACTCATAGGATTGAAATATACAAGATCTGACAATTAAGTTCACGAACTCATCCTAGAAAATGTGCTACATACCTCATTGTTGAATATCACTAGGGTCACCTTTGAAGTACTACTCCCTTGGGAAGCTATGCATTGATGCCAGTGCCTAGTCCACCATCAAAGCAGTTTTGAAACTCTTTTTCTAGAATGGCCATTAGAGGCATTGTGAGAATGTCAGAGCTTGAATTAGAGCAACAAACAAACATTAAAATTCTTGTTAAACTTGGCAAGTGTGGAAGTGAAATCAAGGACATGTTAGTCCAAGTTTTGGGGGATAATCCCATGAAGAAAACAGCCGTTTGGGATTAAATGTTTTTCCGAGGGGAGAGAAAGTGTCACTGATGAGGAGAGGTCAGGACAGCCAGTAATGAGTAGAACTGACAAAAACATTGCAAAAATTCATCAAATTGTGCATCAGAACCGTCAGCTGACTTTGAGAAGCATAGCAGAACAAATAAACTCTAATAGAGAAACAGGAAAATCTTAACTGAAAATCTTGGCATGAGAAGGTATGTGTAAAAATGGTCCCAAAGGAGTTCTTGCATCACAACGAAGCACCAGCTCACACAGCACTGTCTGTGAGGGAGTTTTTAGCCAGTAAACAAATAACTGTATTGGAACACCCTCCCTACTCACCTGATCTGCCCCCAGTGACTTTTTTCTTTATCTGAAAATAAATACTGAAAGGAAGACATTTTGATGATATTGAAGACATCAAGAGTAACACCATGTCAACTCCAATGGTGCTGGCATTGATGCACAGCTAGCCTCCCAAAGGGAGTACTTCAAAGGTGACCATAGTGATTTTCAGCAACCATAGTGATTTTCAGCAGTGAGGTATGTAGCACTTTTTCTAGGATGAGTTTGCGACTTAATTGTCAGCCCTCATATAATCACTTTGAAAAGCGTTGTGGCCTTTTTTTTTTTTTTAAGTTACATATATTCCTACTATATGTTCCAACTATTTCACTCTTAGGCATTTATCAAGAGAAAAGAATGCCTGTACAGCGATCCTGTATATGAATGTTCACTCCAGCTTTATTTGTAATATCTAAAAACTGGAAACAACCCAAAAGTTCATCAATAAGTAAATGGACAAACTGCGATATATTCATATTGTGGAATATTGCTCAGTAACGAAAAGTGATGAACTATTGATATATGGCTTAATGTGGATGAATCTTCAAAACATTATACTGAGTAAAAGAAGTCAGACAAAAGACAACATGCTCTGTGATACCACTTAAATGAAACTCTGGATAAGGTGAAACTACAGTGACAGGAAGCAGATCAGTCATTGCCTGGGGCTAGAAAAAGTTACAAGGGGACATAAGACATTTGATGGCGATAATGTGCCCTGTCTTGATGGTGTTCATGCTTATATAGGCGTATAGGTATATATATCAGAACTTGAGAAATTGTATGCTTTACATATGTAAGTTTCTTTTATCTTAGTTCTACCCTCATAAAGTTATTTAAAAGGTGACGCTTGATACTCTGACAGGTGCACTTTGTCTCATGTGGTTGATTCTCACTTGTAGGATTAGCAATTATAGGCAAGGAGGCTGAGGCTGAAAAGAGATTAGTTAGCCTCACTCAGACCCTCCCAGGTGCCCAGCCCAGGCCGCAGCCTATCATGGGTGTCACTGCCAAGGGAAGTGTTTGGCATGTGGGGTCTCCACAGTTAGTCCTGGCTCTGAGTCAGAGGCTAGCTTATTTTCTTCTTTCCTTTCCTTATTCCCTTGGAAAACTACATTGTGTTCTCTGAATGTTTTCTCCCCTAGATGTTAGCAGAAAACAGGGCTGTGTGATTGTCAGTTTGTGTCTGGTGTTTCCCTCAGGGCACAGTCTTTTGCTGAGCGCCTGCGCCTGGGGATCGCTGTGATTCACGGAGAAGCGCAGGATGCTGAGTCAGACTTGGTGGACGGACGCCATTCCCCACCCATGGTCAGGAGTGTTGCTGCCATCCACCCCAGCCTGGAGATCCCCAGTAAGTGTGCTGACACCTCTGCTGCTTTCTTCTGATTTTAATACTGACTTAATGTTTATGATTTTTTTTTAATACAGCCTTCTTTTCTTACGTTGGCAAAAACTGATTCCTGGCCAGATAGTGACAAATGTACTTGTGATGACCCTGTGAATTGTAGAGCCCTTTAAAGTAGTATGTCCTTCTTTGTAAGACCTATGAAAATGTTCAAACTATTTAGACTCAGTTATGACTTTTCAGGGAATTCCATTCATTCACTAGTATATCTAAACTATAGTTTAGCTGGGCTCGGTGGCTCAGCCTGTAATTCTGCACCTTTGGGAGGCTGAGGTGAGTGGATTGCCTGAGCCCGCGGATTCGAGACCCCCCGGGCAGCGAGACCTCATCTCTACAATCAATCAAAAAATCAGCCGGGCATGGTAGCGCATTCCTATAATTCCGGCTACTTGGAAGGCTGAGGCGGAAGGATCGCCAGAGCCCAGCAGGTTGAGGCTACAGTGGCCGGGAGCAGCCACTGCACTCCAGTCTGGGTGACGGAGTGAGACTTCAACTCAGAAAATAAAAAATAAAAATAAAGTATAGTTTAAAAGTCTTTTTATGCACAAAGTCATTGATTATGGTGGTGTTTTAATGCAAAATATTGGAAAGGTTTAAGTGGTTTACCAGAGGGAAGGGTTTGGTAAATTGCTTTGTATCTGTACAGCCACTTAAGGAGACTTGAAATAATCAAGACTAGCTGGAAAAAAGAGAATATCTATGAGATCTGTGTGATTAAGGCAGACTACAAGACTGTGTACTTAACTGCCTTAGTTAGTTCAGGCTGCTATGACAAAATACCTTAGACTGGGTCATTTATAGACAACAGAAAAGTATTGCTCACCATACTACAGGCAGTGAATGTCAGGATAAAGGTGCCAGCAGATTCGGTGTCTGGTGGTGGCCTGTTCCTCCTAGATGGAACCTTCTTGCTGCGTCCTCACATGGTGGAAAAGGGTGGAAGACTCCCTCAAGTCTCTTTCATAAGGGCACTGGCCCCTTCATGAGAGTGGAGTCCTTATAATCGCATCACCTCCTCAACGCCCCACCTCTTAATACCACCACTGTGAGTTTCAACATGAATTTAAAGGACACAGAAATTCAGCCCATAGCGTTTTGCCCCTGCTCCCCTCCCCGATTCATGTCCATCTTACATGCAAAATATATTTATTCCATCCTAACAGCCCCCCAAAATCTTCCTGTTAAGTCTTTTTTTTTTTTTTTGAGAAAGCAAGATTTATTGAGAGGACAGAATAGCTCCCACAGTGGGAGGGAGCCAGAGTGGGTTGCCCTTCTGTTAAGTCTTAACTTTGTTCCAGCATCAACTCAAAAGTCTAAAAGTCCAAAGTCTCATCTAAATAGCATCTAAATCAGATATGAGTGAGATTCAAGTGAATTCATTCTGAGGTGCATTTCTCTGCAGCTGTGAGCCTGTGAGATCAACAGGTTATGTGCTTCCAAAATACATTGGTGGGACAGGCATAGGATAGACATTTCTATTCCAAGTGGGAAAAGTCAGAAGGAAGAAAGGAATGACCAGGTCCTGACCAGGTTCGAAACCCAGCATAACAAACATTAAATCTTAAGGCTCCAAAAGAATATTCTTTGAATCGAAGTTCTGCCTTCAAGACATATTGGGGCAGGGTTTGGGCCTTTGAGGCTCTGGGCAACCCACTCTCACAGCTTTGCTGGGAGCACCCCACCCTGCAGCGCCCACATGTTCAAATTCCTGTGTCTCTCGGGCTAGAGTTACACACAGTGGCTCTGCCAATCCAGGGTTTCGGCAGCAGCCCTACCCCCACAGCTTCACTGGAGGATCCCTAGTAGGATCTCTCTGGTGGCCCGGCCCCTGAGGCAGTTCTCTACCTGGGCCATGGGGTCATCCTTTAAAGTCTCGGTACAGGTAGCTGTGCCCTCACAGATAGTACACTCTGTGTACTGTGGAGATGGCCTTGCACACACCCCACCATGACTGACTGCCTGTGCCTTCCAGAGGGGCAGCCCAAGCCGTAGCTGGCCCTGCTTGAACCACAGCTAGAGCAGCCAAGGAACACTGCAATGGAGTGTAGGGAACGGAGCCTTGAAATCGTTGTGCTTCCAAGGCCCTGGCATTCTGGACTTGTGATGGGATGGGCAGCCATGATGATCTCAGAAATGTCTTTGGGGTCGTGGCTTCATTACCTTGTTGACTAGCATCTAGCTTCCTTCTATCCCTACTAATCTTTTCAGACATTTGTTTGGCCCCACACCCTTAGTGTTCTCTCCTGAACATGCTTTTACCTTCTTTTTTTTTTTTCCCTTGGAGTCTCACTCTATTGCCCAGGCTGGTGTGCAGTGGCACGTTCACAGCCACCTCAGCATTGACCTGCTGGGCTCTGGCAATCCTTTCACCTCAGACTTCCAAGTAGCCGGAACTACAGGCACGTGCTACCACACCCAGCTAATTTTTGATTTATTTTAGAGATGAGGTCTCTCCAAGTTGCCCGGGCTGGTCTCGAACCCACAGGCTCAGGCAACCCACTTGTCTCGGCCTCCCAAAGTGCTGGGATTACCAGCTGAGCTGCTGAGCTCAGCTGCTTTTACATTCTTTACAACATGGCCAGGCTGATAACTTTCCACATATTTAAGTTCTGCTTTCCTTTTGGTTACAAATTTCATTTTTAGTTTATTTCTCTGTTCTTGCGTTTTACTATAAGCAGTCAATAGAAGCCATGTACCGTCTTCTGCCAAAGATCCTATTTCACCTCTCTTAAATTCTGCCATCCACAAATACAGGGACACAAATACAATTCAGCCAAATTCTTTGCCACTTTATAATAAGAATCGTCTTTCCTTGTTTCCAATAACATATTCCTCATTTTTATCTGAGATGCCTGTGTCATCAGAATGACTTTTACTGTCCATATTTCTACCAGCATTCTGATCATGACATGATCCTTCAGATAATTTCTAAGAAGGCTTTCTTTACAGCTCTCCTCTTCTGAGCCTGTCTTAGTCTGTTTTGTGTTACTATAACAAATCCCTGAGACTGGGTAGTTTATAAAGAAAAGACGCTAACTCAAAAAAAAAAAAAAAAAAAGGCAGTACATGTGGACTGTGGAATACTACACAGCCATACAAAAGAACAAAATTTTGTCCTTTGCAGCAACATGGATGGAGCAGGAGGTTATTGTTTCTTGTGTGTGTGTATGTGAGGGAGCAAGATTTATTGAGAGGACAGAGAAGCTCCCACAGTGGGAGGGGACCCAAAGGGATTGCCCAGGAGGCTGTTATTTCTAAGTGAATTAATACAGAAGCAGAAAACTGAATATTGCATGTTCTCACTTATAAGTGGGAGCTAAACACTGCGTACACGTGGGCATAGGATGGGAACAACAGACACTGGGGACTCCTAAGGAGGGAGTAAGTGTTGAGAATGACCTTTTGGGAACCGTGCCCACCATGTGGGTGATGGTCTCAGTAGAAGCCCAAACCCCATCTGTGTAACAAACCTGCATATGTACCCTCGGATCTTAAAACAAAACCCAGAAAACACAACACCTTAGACTGGGTCATTTGTAAACAATAGACACTTATTGCTCCCAGTTCTGAAGGCTGGGAAGTCCAAGATCAAGGTGCCAGCAGATTTGGTGTCTGGCGAACACTCACCCTGCCTGGAAGACGGTGCCTTTTTGCTGTGTCCTGCCACAAGCCTTTTTTTTTTTGAGTTGGAGTCTCACTCTGTCGCCCAGACTGGAGTGCAGTGGCCGCTCCCGGCCACCGCAGCCTCCACCTGCTGGGCTCCGGCGATCCTTCCGCCCCAGCCTTCCAAGTAGCTGGAACTGCAGGCACATGCTACCACGCCGGCTGATTTTTGATTTATTGTAGAGATGAGGTCTCGAACCCGCGGGTTCAGGCAATCCACTCACCTCGGCCTCCCAAAGGCGCGGGATTACAGGCTGAGCCACCAAGCCTGGCCACGAACCTTTTATAAGGGCACTAATCCTATTCATGAGGGCAGAGTCCTTGTGACTTACCCACCTCCCAAAAGGCTCCACCTCTTGATACTGCCACACTGGGGACTGGGTTCCAACATCTGGTGCAGGCATGACCTTTTAGACCATAGTGCTGTCTTTGTGAAGGGACCAGGAGGGAGTATGAACAAAAGCAGCTATGATGGGGTGGTAGTGTTATCCGTGAATTTGTTTTTGACTTTAAGAAACCTTCCTCATGCCTTAATAATATCTTTTCAATTAGAAAAATACTGTCTTGTTTGAGTTGTCAGGGGTGAGGGGAACCTTAACCCTCTACCCTCAGGTTCAGTATTTGACAGCCTATGAATTAAAATGACAGCTAGTAAGAGGAAAGACAGAGTTTAATCACATACTGTTCAGAGGTCACAAAAATATGACTCAGAAGTGGTTAGAATTGGGGCTTATGCACCATCTTTTTTTTTTTTTTTTTTTTGAGTTGAAGTCTCACTCTGTTGCCCAGACTGGAGTGCAGTGGCTGAGAGTGGCCACCGCAGCCTCGACCTGCTGGGCTCCGGCGATCCTTCTGCCTCAGCCTTCCAAGTAGCTGGAACTACAGGCACATGCTACCACGCCCGGCTAATTTTTTTGATTTATTGTAGAGATGAGGTCTCACCAAGTTGCCCAGGCGGGTCTCAAACCCGTGGGTTCAGGCAATCCACTCACTTCAGCCTCCCAAGGTGCGGGATTACAGGCTGAGCCACCGAGCCCGGCTTATGCACCATCTTAATAGGGGAGGGGAGTCTCAACAGAGTGAGACTCCAACTCAAAAAAAAAAAAAAAAAAAAAGGGGAAGGGAAGGGGAGGAAAGGCACTGATGGAAAACTGGCCCACTGGAGTATAGATGGAGGATGGGCTGGGCTGGGCTGGGAGATGGCTGTGGAGGTGTGTGTGCTGCTGGCTGCTAGTGCTGGGGGCTGAGAGTCTTCCCTGGCTTTCCTGGGGAAGGGATTTAGG